GAAGAAGAAGAAGAAGAAGAAGAAGAAGAAGAAGAAGAGGAGGAGGAGGAGGAGGAGGAGGAGGAGGAGGAGGAGGAGGAGGAGGAAGAAGAAGAGGAAGAGAAGGAAGACGAAGAGAAGGAAGACGAAGAAGAAGGAAGACGAAGGAGGAGGACAAAGAAGGAGGAGGAAGAAGAAGAAGGAGGAAGAAAGAGGAAGAAGAAGGAGGAGGAAGGAGGAGGAAGAAGAAGAAGGAGGAAGAGGAAGAAGAAGGAAGAAGAAGAAGGAAGAAGAAGAAGAACGGAGAAGAAGAAGAAGGAAGAAGAAGAAGAAGGAAGAAGAAGAAAACTTATGTTTTTTTTGTCAAACGTCGTCTCCACAAGGCACCTTCAAGAATCCACCGAAGAGCTAAGGTTTCTTGATGACTCTTTGGTATAATGGATGGGACTAATTGGGTGGTTCCGGAGATTAGAAGAAATTTCCAATTTATATTAGAAGTAAAAAATCATTCCAGAATCAAGCACAATGACTTGTAAGGAAGAAGAAGAAGAAGGAAGAAGGAGACGGAAGAAGAAGGAAGAAGGAAGAAGAAAGAAGAAGAAAGAAGAAGGAAGAAGAAGAAAGAAAAAGGATGTTATGACCCTGGCCAATTTCGAGAACACATCCATCGGAAAGTACAATGCCATCCAATTGCAGAAAGAAATGAATGAACTTGAGAGGAGAGAGAGGATTAGAAGAAGAAGAAGAAGAAGTAAGAAAGAAGAAGAAGATGATGTACACCAGCAAAAACAGATGATAAGGCTCTTCTTCTTCGCCCAACAATCTCCTCCTCCTTATCTCCCCCTTCCCTTATTCATACATGAAATAATAATACAATGTTGAATGACTGATCCAGAATCAATGTCCGAGTTCCTCTTCTACTGCAGGTATCACTTGATAGCCAAAAAAAAAAAGAAAAAAAAAAAAAGAGGTCCACCATAGCCATGGCCGCCTCCCCACTCTTCGCTCTCATAGGCCGAGGCTATGGCGGACTACTAGGCCTTGCCCATATGCCCAAAGGACAACCCAAAGCAGCTATGGCTGCTCTAGCTCAGGCCGACATGCCCAACCCTGCCTTGAAGCTTCTTGGTGTGGCTCTCCCCAGTTGGGGACTCCCTGCTGCAGCGCCCACCAAGGTGATGAAGATGGCTGCCACCATAGCCAGGTAAGAACCCCTGGCGCTCCTCCCCCTTCCTTCCTTCTTCCTCCCTCGTGTCCTTCTCCTTCCTCCCCAGCTGCACTGCTCCAGCATAGCGCTGCTCCAGCCAGCGCTCCACCAGTGTGTCGCCAAACTTGCACACCGAAAAAGAGGCCGGACTCTCTACCCGGCCCGAAGATATAGCGGCCTGCTTTGCCTCTTGGGCGTTGACTTCCAGGCCGCTTGGCCTCCCAAGCAACCGGTACCTCCTCCTTTTTGGAGGAAAACATCATTGCAGACTCTGATATTGCCCGTACAGGCCCTAGACTCAGACTGGTATCCGCCTAGACCTAGCCGACACTACTGGGCCTCTAAAAATGCCACTTTTGTCTTCTTCTGCTCAGCCTCCGGTACCTGCACATCTACCCCTTACAGGTGCGGTACCGGCCTACCCGCTACTTGAGTGCTTTTTCCCCGCTGCAACCCCTCAATGTCACGGCCACAGGTAAGTACCGGCCCTGAGGGCCCAATGAACGAGCAAGTGCCCTGACGGGCCACACACATACTCATGCCAACCAGCACTCAGACAGGCACGGTCACACACACACCCAAGCCAACCAGCACTCAGACAGACATGCAGTCCAGCAAGCGTGCACACACAGACTTAGTAGCAGGCGGGAAACTCAGCAAGGCATTCAGTCTATGAGCAAAACTCAGAAATCAGCTGTGTGTTTCAGTCCATGTTTGGACGGGTCATCACAAAGAAGAAAGACGAAGAAGACTCATGCTGATTATGTCCCTGTCCTTTGAAGACAACTAAGAATCAAAATATCTCAGATGTGTGCCAAGCTTAAACCAAGTAAGGCCAACGGCTTTGCATGACCTAAACCTTTGATTCTGAGTCCAACTGACTTAATTCCTGAAAAGGAACGGAACGGAATGGAAGGGAACGGAAAAAGAATGGAAGGGAACGGAAAAAGAACGAAACGAAACGAAACGAAACGAAACGAAACGAAACGAAACGAAACGAAACGAAACGAAACGAAACGAAACGAAACGAAACTTCTCATTTTCGTTGACTAAAATTTCAGAAGGAAAATCAGGGATATAGGGCACCTTCTGCCGTATCAGTGAAAATGTTTTAAAAATTAACCAATGTTATCACCAAGAAAAGATATTTGCGCCAAACCGAATTCATACGTTGATCAGAGTTGGTGTGACCAGGTATGAGTTTTTGGGCTGGGCAGGCCGCGGTCGGTTGTTTTTGTGAGCTCGATAAAATAGGTTCCACCGCACTGGTGGTTTAAATACCACAGTATATGGACAAATGAACACAAACCAATGAGCGAATGTTCCCCCTCATTGCCAGTACTCAAAGAGCTCTCCTTTAGGCCTCTCTCTCTCTCTCTCTCTCTCTCTCTCTCTCTCTCTCTCTCTCTCTCTCTCTCTCTCTCTCTCATGGTTACAATTGGCTATCGCGGTTCATCCATGCCTAGCAAGAATGTTCAAAGGACAACTCACTACTACCACGCCTTTCCCATCTCCTACTGGCGTAGCCACACTCCCGGAAGAAGTTCATGCCCAATCAGTAGCCCAACAGGGGGCTGCCGGATGCAGTGCAAAACCAAGGAAACAGAGATGAGGGTCCAACATAGGCAAAGGTAAGCCTCTCTGATCGGTTCCCTCCTCCTGCCTCCCGTTCGACCTTTTCTCTCTTCCTCCACATACCTTCATAGCCCAGCTTGAGGTCCTTCTCCCTCTACCTCCATAGCTTAGGCCTTCGCCCTTCTACTACAACTCATCCTCCAAAGCCATGGCGGTCTTCTTCCTCACCCTCCAGGTTGTCCGTCCTCCACCCAGTGCTCCGCGTCGCTCTCCCTCAGGTCGTAGCAGCAGCATGACTGCCGGGTGAGCGTCCGGACTACTGATTGCACTGAAATGTACACTCTTGCCTGTTGGCCTCCAGACCTCTCTACCTCAGCACTTTGTATACGCAGCCGACCCACTTTCAGTCCCTTGGGCCTACCAGAACGTTCCTGGCTTTGGGAGGAACACCACTCGCTGTCTGTGACTCACCCACAGGGCCTAAAACAAGACCTACAAGCTATCCACATTCGGGACTGGACCATATTACCACATATTACTCGAAAACTATCGCGCTTTTCCAAGTCTGCACCAGTTCCTGGAAAATGCTACCGGGTTCGTAACAAATCCTTCCCTGTCTGCAACTGGTACAGCAAACAACAGATACATTGCAAAATGCCAATCATTCAGAGCACAGCATGTGCGCGTGCGCGTACACACACACACACACACACACACACACACACACACACACACACACATTGCACACATCGCACACATCGCACACTTGTCCCGAAGTTAGATGTTGGTTTAGTCTGCATTCTAGCACCCATCTCGAGGTGTACCCCTTCGGCCATTTAACTTTCAAATTTGAAGTTCCTGGTCACAATTTCGGCGTTTTCTGAACTGAAACCGTCAGGGGTTACCGGTTCCCAGCAGTAGGACCTGACGATTTCAGTTTAAAAAAATGCCGAGATCGCAGCCCGGAATGTCGAAGTTAAACGCCCGAAGGGGTATTTACTATTTAATATTTATTACGTAACTGTGTGGTTGCTGACATATTTCTTTGAAAGTTCCAAAAAAGAAAAAGATAATATAATCTGAGGTGCTCTTCAAAATTTCCATTGTCAGTTCTGATAGGGCCAGGAATGTGCACCAGGGTGGGTAGAAATTACTACCGTCTGCACCCACCCGAATAGAACGCCCGGTCATTATATATATATTATCTGCATCTGCACTGAAAGTTGCCCTAAATACAGCAGCTATTACAGCTATAATGACTGGTGGTTCTATTCGGTGGGAAGGCGGTCGAATTTGTTGGCGAAGAGAGGTTAGAGGTAGGACTTACAAAGTAGCTTTCATCGCCGTGCACCTTGACGGGCGACAAAATACAAAGTTCCAGAAATGCCCGCAGCCTGCAGGTGCATCATAATTTCCAAAAAAAATCAAACTTTCCCAGCAGATTGCTGATCAAAATCATCAAATGGATTATCAGACTGGCGATAAACAAGAAAAAGAAAAAGAATGCCAAATTGCTTATCAGTCTAGGCTGCCAGCCGAGCCGCCCGGTTCCCGGGTGGCCAGCCCGTGCAAGGACCAGGGAAAGTCCCAGCAAAATAAAATAATAATAATAAAAAATCCAAAAAATTGAAAAAAAACTATGCTATGCACAAAAATAAACTAAACAACTTTTGCCTCGGGTCACATCGAAATTCTTCACCAAATTTGGAATAAAAAATAAAATTAAAAAATATTTTTATTATTTTTATTATTTTATTATTTTTATTATTTTTATTATTTTTATTATTTTTATTATTTTCATTTTTTTGGCCCGGCTGGGCAAGTGACCCCGGGCCACTCTGGTAGCCTAGTTATCAGTCGTAATATCAGATCGATAACGTTGGGCAGGTGTCATATACGTCCTCAGCAAAAGTTGTGCCTACAGGGCCCTACACCTTGGTGTGCAATTTGAACAACTTCCGACTGTCCTGAGGGGTAGACACCCCTCGTTAGCGTTTTCCTTTTTCTTCCATGTATCCGACACACATTCGATTTTCGGACATATCCAGTGAAATTTGTGAAAATGAATTATCTACAAGAGTACAAGCTTTTTTTTTTTTTTTCCCTTGAAATTTCACATAATCCAATGTTTGCAAGCAAAAGGAGCGAGAGCGAAACGCCAGAAATCCAAATTGCAACATGGCATTGAAAGCCAGATAGTCGACGACTCTCGGCCAATCAAAAGATGCAACAAGAAGGAACGGCAAGGAAGTCGAAACCGCGGTTTTCGTTTTTGCGTGTGAGCCGGAGCTTGAAAATCAAAATGAATGCACCGAAGAAAAAAGAAAAATTAATAAGAAGGATCCACCAAGCACTTATCTGTGGTCCCTTCTTGTCTGCTTTCGTAGGTGATCCATGAAACTTGGAACAAAGATAAAAGAAAAATTAATAACAAACCAGAAGAAGAAAAAAAATCAATTTCCAAAAAAAAAAAAAAAAAAAAAAAACTTCCAAAAACGAGAAAGAAAAAAAGGGGGGGAAATGGAAAGAAAGAAAGAGAGAAAAAGAGGACAAAACGACATCGGAAAAGAAATGCGACGATTTGGCTCCTCGGCAGGCCTAAGGGGCCCTCTGTTTACAAGTGTGCCCGCCCTAAGTGAAGGCCGGCCTGACAAATCTCGAGAGGCCCATTGCTGTCGATTTTGTATTTGGGGTTCAGGCAGTTGCTTCGTGTCAGTTGGTTGAGGGAACCCCAGCCACGAGCAACAAAACTTTCCACAGCCTTCTAGGCCTTTTTAGAAAAGCAGGCCCTGGGCCACATCTGCAGCAATATACACAGGCAGTTGGGTGGCGTAACCAAACGAGGCCCAGCAGCGGCAGCAGAGGCCCAGCTACCTGGGGCTTACCGGAAGCTTCTGGGAGCAGGCCCAGCCCAGCCAAGCTGCAGGCCAGGCCAGACTCTTTCCGTATAGGAAAGAACTCGCTGCCTGGCAGGACATTCGGGCACTTGCAGTTTGCGGCAGCGATGCTGGAGCAGACGCTCGCGGGCTGCTGCTAGCCCAGAGCAAGGTGCAGCGCACATGCGGTCGTGTAGAAGGAAGGGCGCTGCTGAGGGCAGCGCCATAGCCCAGCTTCCATAGCTGGCTGAGGCTTGGTGTTACAGCAAGGTGTAGTGGTGGTCTTCGTGCACAAGGGAGAAGACATGGGAGGCAGACAAGGGAAAGAATGTGAGAGGGAGAGATGAGGATGATGGCGTGAGGGCACATACCTGGTATTGGCGATAGTCTGAATTGGGCAACACCTTTATGTACTTCAGTGGCTGCTGACGTCAACAGCTGCATTGTCAATTCGTAGGCAGATAGCAGCTGTGTGGGAGTAGTCTGGGCGCTGAGCACCAAGTAGCGGGAAGGGCCTGGACACTTATGTTGGTGATGACGAGAGTAAGCTCTCATTGACATTCGGATTCAACGTTTCAATTGTCCATTGGTGTAATGTTGGTGTAATGTTGGTGCAATGTTGCTTTCTGGACACTGTGGTACTTTCTGGCTTTCAATGTGATTGTGCAATCTGGATTCTGTCATCTCGCTATCGCTCGTTTCCCTTGCAAAAGGAAAACCAAAAAAGAAAAGAAAAGAAAACAACAGAAAAGGAAAGAGAGAGGAAAAAAAAAAAAAAAAAACTTGGACAGAAGGCACTCACAGGTAAGCCATTTCCTTTGCCGCTTCATCCCATACTCCCAGCCGCTGATCGAGCAATGCTCTCGTTCGGCTGCTGATGTGGAATACATGAGGTGTTCCCAGTAGCAGCTCCAACACTACAACGCCAACGCTCCAGATATCGTACCTTTCACCACACATATTGTAACAACACTCAAGCACGCACACACACACACACACACACACACACACACACACACACACACACACACCACAACCACAACAACAACAACACCCCAATGAGGCAGTGAAAGCCCAATGAAATGCCCTGGCACAGTCATGCCTATGATGTGGAGTGATGTAGAGCGAACATGACAACACGCATGTGTGTGCGTTTTCACACACCTGTTGTGAGAATCCGTTTAGGTTGGCCTTCTCTTTGCTGTTCATAACCCTTCATTTTGGTACCTATTGGGAAAAATCATCGTCTGGTTATAACAGTATATATTATTGAAAGGCGGCACAGCAGGATATCCAAGCTGCGTTTTTCGTACCGATTCACCCAGCTCATACTTGTGTATTTTTTTCTACAAGTTTCGAACTTCAAAGGGTTCACCTTGGTGTATTTATTTTGAACTTCAAAGAGTTTCGAACTTCAAATGGTTCCCTTTGAAGTTCGAAACATTGAACCCTTCAACGGGATCCTTCAAAGGGTTTCAAACTTCAGAGGGAACCCTTTGCAATTCGAAACCCTTTGAAGTTCGAAACCCTTCGAAGTTCGAAATCCTTTGAACCCCCTCGATGCGTTTCTTGTTGAAATAAAGATTTGAAGATTTCACAGTGGTTTCTGCTGGCACTGCTGGTCGGAGCCCCGCAAGCTAAGTGGTGGTGGAAGGCCGGAAGGCACTCACAAGCTATTTCTGTACTTGGTGACAAATGCTATGACTATTCAGTTAACGCGTCTCTTTCCCTCATTTTTTTTCCGACCAAGGAGAATGGTCGCTGCTCGTCATTTCAAGGAGTTAATGATTGTCGACAACCCGTGACCAACAAGCCCTCCTCCTCCATGATGTCTCTCTTGATGTTACCATGAACCTTCCGTGTAACTTCAACACGTTGAGGCTACGGAGTTCCTGATCCAGCTGGACAGGCAGATGCGCACACGGAGGACTTCCAAATATTAAAACGGAGAGGCGATTCTCTCCTCCCCACCCTTATATCCTCCCTCTTTCCTCGCTGAGGCCTTGAGATATCATCATCGAACACGCCGGCCCTAGGTAATCGAGAATTTGGAGTATGTCACTCATCGGCTTCCAGTGAAGTTTGAACCTGGGGCTGTATGGGTGTAACAACTGAGCTAGGCCCTTCGGTCAAGCTCGCTCTTTTTTCCTCTTCTCGCTGCGCTCTGTGTTAATTCAACTTTATTGTCTTTGGTCCCAAAGGGGGCACTCAAAAACGTTTCCCTCCCTCTGACGATCCGACAGGCGGTGTCACAAAAAATTACTCTAGTGCCTGCTACTGTCCCTGTGTGTGCATCCTCTCCCAGATTTCTCGCATCCAACTTCCCAAGCTCTCCTCCTAAGATTCGGTCATTGGAGCTGGCTCCGATACTCACCAAATGTGCAAAATAAGAGTGGATCTTCCGCTCGAACATAAAAAGATACACTGCCATTTTTTTTGTCTTTTGTGCATGCGGTGAGTAGTGAAGCAAGGCCCATTATCTACTTATGAGCTCACCAGAGCACGGTCAAATCAAGAGATCTCGACAGTTTGTGATCGCCACACAGATTGTGGAGAGAGTCCGAGAGACAGATGGGCTACCTCTTATCACCACGTGTCAGAATAAGTCGTTCGGCATCACTGTCGAAACAACCCTCTCTCCCCGGGCTGCAGCAGCCAAAGTTTTGAAAGTCCTCTCCCGAGCTTGTGAAAAAAATGGTCGGGACGGCACCGTGGGAGTTACCATGGCCTTAAGACAAAATTGTCATACATGAAAGACGCGCGGCAACTCGAAAATTGGCCCTCTCTACACTGCTCTGTGGCAAAAGGGGGGGTAACTGTCGAAACGAGGACTGTCGAAACAAAACTGACAGCCGTCAAAAAAAGCCCTGTTTAGACGGTGGTGTGGCGGGGCCCTTAAACCACCAGTACTTCGCCCAGCTACTGGCCGCAGAAAAAAAAAGAGTAGAAACATTTCTAGTCGGATGGATTTGGACGCTCCTGTAGTGGCCCGTATGTTTCCTAAAATCGTGGCTTGAATACGGGCACGACTTTAGGAAGTACTGGTGGTTTAATATCAAGTCAAGAATACACACGGGTCAATATAGCGCCCGATTGTTGTTTTCGGGCGAAGACGGTAGCTTTTTTTGGCCAACTGTCTTGTTGTCTACTTTTCACTGTAATGACCTGCCATAACACAGACTGAGAACACTGCTGATTTCTGAAGTTCTGCCGATGGAATGGATGCCTTGCTGAGATTCCCGCATTCTGCTGAGTCTTCTAAGTCTGTATGTGTGCATGCTTGTTGACCTGCGTGCCTGTCTGAGTGCTTGTCGGTATGAGTGTGTGTGTGACCCGCCAGGGTACTTGCTTGTTTGGCAGGCCCGTAGGGCCGGTACTTACCTGTGGGCGTGGCATTGAGGGTTGCAGCAGGGGAAAACGCTCAAGTGGCGGAGCCAGAGGCCCACAGCACTTGGAGCAGCGGAAAAACACTCAAGTAGCAGGTAGGCCGGTACCGCACCCAGTAGCAGTAGATGTGCCGGGTACTCGAGGCTGAGCAGAAGAAGACAAAGTTGGCATTTTTAGAGGCCCAGTAACGGTAGGCTAGGTCTAGACCGGTACCAGTCCATCCAGTCTGAGTCTGGAGCCTGTACGGGCAATGTCAGAGTCTGCAATGATGTTTCGCTCCGAAAGGGAGGAGGTACCGGTTGCTTGGGAGGCCGAGCGGCCTGGAAGTCACCGCCCAGGGGGCAAGTAGGCCGCTATATCAAGAGGCTGAGGGAAGAGCCCGGCCTCATTCTTCAGTGTGCAAGTTTGGCGACACGCTGCTGGAGCGCTGGCTGGAGTATCTCTGGCCACTACAGCGCTGCTGGGAGGAAGAAGCCGGGAGCTTCCACCTTGGCTATGGTGGGGCTCTACCGGTAGGAGGAGGAGGGAGAAGGGGACCAAGGGGGAGAGTGGCGAGCTACCTACCTGGCTATGGTGGACACCATCTTCATCACCTTGTTAGGCGCTGCATCTCGAAGGCCCCACTTGGGGTAGTGCCGCACCAAGGAAGTTCGGGGCAGAGACAGGCATGACGACCTAGTGAGCAGCAGCATAGCTGCTTTGCATTGTCCTTTGCACAGGGAGGCAGCGACATAGCTGCTTTGGGTTGTCCTTTGGACAGGAGGGTTGAGCCCTCAGTAGTCCGCCACAGCCTCGGTCTACATGTGAGAGGAAGGAGAAGGGTGGCCATGGCTATGGTGGACCTCATGTTGTGCCTGCAGTAGAAGTGGGATTCGGACATTGATTCTGGTTCAGCCATTCAACATTATTATTGTTATTGCTTGTTTGAATAAGAGGGGAGGAGATAAAGAGGAGGAGATTGGTTGGTGAAGAAGAAGAGCCTTATCGTTGGTCTATGCTGGAGTACATCATCTTCTTCTTCTTTCTTACTTCTTCTTCTTCTTCTTTCCCTCTCTCTCCTCTCGAATTCATTCATTTCTTTTTGCATTGGACGGAATTGTACTTTCTGATGAATGCATACTTCAAAATTGGCCAGGATCGCAACATCACCCTTTTTTTGGCCTCCTCTGAGCGTGCCATCCTGCTTGCACACAATCTCTCTCCCTGCTTTAATGCTTGCTGCAGAATTGCGCAAAAGGCAGGATCTAAGGCCTTGGTAACCTAGAGCATGGCAGTTACACTCCACTACACAATGCCCTGGAGTCTAGATGTATCTGGAGCTCGCAATCATCCCAAATGCATTCCATATGTTGGACTCCTCCAAACGCACCTGGTCCAGAAAGCGTCCAAATGCATGTACACTGTTGCATAACGGAGTGAGCCCCTAGTTGGGTAGCCATAATGCCATGCTCCCGAAGACTTGGTCACTTTGGAAGGACCCGAATTATGAGATTTTGCTCTTTTGCCTGGGTGAAAGAAACCAGTCGCTTTGGGCCTCTCACCACCACTCACCACATGCACCAAAGACGAAAACATTATGGCTTTGCATCTTTCCATGTTCTAGCTGAAGATTTATTCCCCAATTCCACATTTGGTGAGTGGTGGAGTGAGACCCTTTTTCCGGTCGTGTTCGACTTGTACGGACATCATCACAACTTGATACTTTTTTCTTTTCCTTTTTTTTCCCTGATTTTTTCCTTATTTTTTCCTTATTTTTCCTTCATTTTTTCCTTATTTTTTCTTTTTTTTTCCCTTTTTTTTTAATACCCTTTTCACCTTTGCTTTTTCTGGAAAAAGCTATTTAATATTTTTCCGGTGGCTTCAGTGTTTTCAACTTCTTTCAGTTTCGTTTTAATTTTTAAAGGTGAGTCAGCTACAAATTTCGAATTTTGAATTTTCAATTTTGGAAATTCTGCATGGTGTTGTGGCAAGTTTTTTTTTTTTTTTTTTTTTCCCCTCCATCATTTCCATGTACAATGATTGACAACATCCCACATCAGCGCTATTCCCTCAATTTATTTGCCCATTGCATCAAACTTTTTTTTTTGTTTTCTTTCTTGTTTTTTTTCCTTTTCTTTTTCACCCCTTTTTTTCATTGCATCAAACAAGCGACGCATGTACAGTTCATGAATCATGACCTTAGCTCAGTGGGTAGAGCACCAGGGTTGAATGCACATTGTGGTATAAAGGCGCAGGTTTGAATCTTTGGATCTGCACCCCACGCATTCAGCCGGAGGGCGTCGACCGACACAGTCTTGTTTGTACACCGGGCAACGCAAGTGCAGGGGCTTCAAGACACAGATCTGATGCTCGAAACCCGGCCGCGCAGGGATTTCAAGACACAGCTCCGAACTGTGGGATCCAACCATTGTGGCTGCTGCATTGGAGGTTGCTCCACTGTAAGTGCCCATACAGCATTGCTCCGTGTGGTTCGTCACAGAGCATTGTGCCCCCTCTTGGGTTGTGTGGGGTCATGGGGGCATGGGGCGAGGGAAGGGAGCACCGATCCCAGTCCATACGTCCCAGTGTATGTGGTCGAGGCTGTGGTCTCTGTGCTTGAGTGTTCTGTGCGTGTGGGTGGGTTCACTGCGCCGACGGGAGGCTGAACTCAGTGCGTCCAGCCTCCTAGCGGACATACTCTCCTCACACTGTCCCTCACACCCCTCACAACCTTTTTAATTTTTCTTGTTCTTTTTTTTAAAATCTTTCCAAAGCTTTATTCAAGCAAATTTGCAAAACAAAGAAAGGAAAAGGGGACTCCATTTTGACCATTTGTAGCAGCAGGGACTCCATTTTGACCATTTGTAGCAGCAATTATGGACCCAAAAAGTGAATCCTCTCTCTCTCTCTCTCTCTCTCTCTCTCTCTCTCTCTCTCTCTCTCTCTCTCTCTCTCTCTCTCTCTCTCTCTCTCTCTTCCCCCCCAAAAAAATTGCAACCATTTGCCTACCCCCCAACGCACCCCCGACATACTCCTATCCCCCTCCCACTGCCACCCAATGGCGACCACTTCCCACCGCCCTCCCCTCAACCTCCTGCTCCAATCCCTTCTCCTCTCTAGTCCCCTTCTCCATGTCCAATTAGCTCACTTGGGTCGGCGCTCTCGCTTTGATTGCAACCAGTAATTTCCAAATAAAGCTTCAGGTGGAGAGTACTCTGCGGTTTCTTGCACCCTGTTCATGAAAGAGAGTGTCATGGGCGAAAAAAAGCAGCAGAAAAAGACAAAGCACAAAGCAACCGTCATTCGCTTGTTCGTTTGATCAATCGTAAAGTCAGCGAGGGAAGTTCAGTAAACACTATTTCCTCAATTGGAACACCAGCTCACTACCAAATGCACTAAGTTTAGCACACATTATTTCCTCGATGAGAACACCAGCTCACTGCCAAACACACGGTCATTATCGCAGCATCTGGACTGAAAGTTGCCTCAAGTACAGCTATAATCACCATACGTTCTATTCCGGCAAAGAGGATATCATTGCAGCCCGGAGTTAAGGAACAACTGATGGCAAATCGCAGAGAAGGGTTGACGACAACATTCCCGCTGTCCTAGTTAATGACTTAACAAAAGTTATTTTTGACTTTCTTTCTTTTCCTCTTTTCAGTACGGATGTGGTGGAAACTGGGTCCAGCGTGCTCCCTTCCATTATGGCTGAAAGGACCCCGAGTCAACGGCATTGATAGCTCCTTTGTCTGAGGTATGGTAGGTCCCCCCCCTTGGGTACGTTCTACTCCAGATTACAGTCGTTTTCTCATCGCAAAGAGTCGAGGAAAAAAGGAAACAAAGACAAAGAAGTCCTTCACCATACCACGCGATCATAATGAATGTCACCCACTGCATGTGGCTGAGTGCTACACAAATGTAACTCTTACCAAACAGATCACGAGTTCGAGTCCTGACGCAAAATAATCAGATGGAATCTGACGGATAGTATTCGAGAGTAATAGAGACAATATTCGTGGGAGAAAGACCCACTTTCCTTTTCAAAATGAAGAAAAGATGGCATCATGGTGTAAAAAAAAAAAAAAAAAAAAAAAAAAGAGAAAAGAAAAGAAAAGAAAAGAAAATGATGGTATCAATGTATCATCGTAATGAATCCCCTTTGCTAGAAGCCTAGAGCACATGACGAGTAGAAGTAGAATCGGTTTCACATTTTCAATCACATGGATTTCCTCCCTGCGCAAGCCAAAGATTTGGATGGATCAAGACCTCTTGATTACACAGAAGAACACTGAAGAACCGTTAACCACCACTGTTAGAACCAGTTAAGAACAGTATAAAACACACTCAAGAACCGTTAAGCCAATGTTACAACCAGTTAAGAACAGTAAAAAACACACTCAAGAACCGTTAAACCACTGTTAGAACCAGTTAAGAACCATTCACGACCCGTCAAAAACACTCACGAACCGTTAAACCACTGTTAGAACCAGTTAAGAACAGTCAAACGCACACTCGAGGACCGTTAACCACTGTTAGAACTTAGAACCAGTTGAGAACAGTCAAAGGCACACTCAAGAACCGTTAAGCACTGTTAGAACCGTTCAAGAACAGAAAAAAAACACACTCAAGAACCGTTAAACCACCAGTACGTATCCAAGCGTCTTTTGTACGAGGCAGATCCCCTGCGCGCCAAGCTTTGTCCCGTTAAGCACTGTTAGAACCGTTCAAGAACAGTAAAAACACACACAGAACTGTTAAACCACCAGTATATATCCAAGCCTCTTTTGTACAAGGCGGATTCCCTGCGCGCCAAGCTTCGCCGAAACGCCAGGGCGGCGGTTTAGTTTATTTTTTTGTGGCTGGCGCCGCCAGACATTTTGGTCAGGTTGCCCCATGCCTCCAAACTTTTCGGATTGAGGTGATCGCTTGTTCTCAAGTTGCCTGCGGCCATGTACTGGTGGCTTAACCAGTGTTAGAACTTCGAACCATATACAAACAGTTTACCACACACAACCTCTGCACGAGTCGGTGAAGTCGAGAACAAAACAGTCTGGCACAATCGTGCTTTCTTTTTTGGAGTTGTGTACAGCAAACATGACAACACCCACACCCACACCCACACCCACACTACACACAGACACACACACACACACACACACACACTCTACACACACACACACACACACACACACACACACACACACACACACACACACGCACACACACTCGTCAAATGCTCAAGATTCAAGATTACTAGAGGTTAGCCAGGATGTTTGCACATGTACAGAGTACACACTAACTCGATAATGTTCGGCCTCGTCAAATTTGTAGTACTTTGTAAGTTTGCAGTACACATGGATGTCAGACTGGTTCCCTGTGCGCAGGGATGTATGATCTGGAGAATGTGCGCAGGGCACCAGTCTGACCAGCCCAGTAAAGCAAGGGCAGTTACACTTACCACTCCCATTCCCATGACTAGCTGGTCCCATTCCCAAGATTGGCCAGTCCCATTCCCAAGATTAGCTAGTCCCAATCCCATCATGACAAACTACTCCCACTCCAATAACAAACCGGTCCCATTCCCCCCATTCCCATGACAAGCCAGTCCCATTCCCATGACAAGCCAGTTCCATTCCCATGAGAAGCCAGTCCCATGACTGGCCAGTTCCGTCCCCACGACTGGTCATTCCCATGAGTGGCCAGTCCCATTCCAGCCACTTGCTGGTTCCATTCCCATCATGGGCCAGTCCCATTCCCCATGCGCAACTTCAACGGGACCAGTTCACTGAACTTCTGTATTTTGCAGTATTTAGTAATTAGGGTAAGTGTCCTTTGGGACATCCCTTAAAATTGGAACCATGCAGAAGAGTTTATCATGGCCCCTGTGCAAGGATGACACACATAAAGAGAGCAATGGTCCCAAAAAAAAAAAAAAAAAAAAAAAAAGTAACTAGGGCAAGTTTCAAAACTAGCGCGTCACGAAAGATTCACAGCAAAAGGTATTGGTGGGACCCAAGTTTCGTTGCAGAAATACATCTTCCGTTGCAGCTTTCGATGTCCCGGTAGTTTCACAGCAGAAATATTTGCAGGCAGGGTCCCACTTTCCTTGCAAAAAAATAGATATTTTGGACCCGTACAACATTTCTGCTGCGAAACTTCAAAAACGTGCTATTTCTGCAATTACCCCTACTAATAATTACACTTTTGCTGTCACTCCCTCTAGCAGGCCCAGCCTGGCTTTCAGGGGAAAAAAAAAAAAAAAAAAAAAAAGAAAGAACAAAAATTTAAAAGTTTTGATATGCCCCTGAAAGTTTGATTTATTTGCAGCACGCCTGTGTGATGGCCAACTTACCCTGTCGTGCTCCCCTGACAGCAATTGAAGTTTCCGGAAAAGCCCTGGGGTCGTTTGGGCCTGAAATATGTTCAATATGCCCTTAACGGTACTGGTTCCAAATTTCCAGTATGCCCCTGTAGCTCCCCTCCCAGGGCCAGGGGAAAGGCCACGAGTGCGACCAACACCCACAGGGGCATGCTGGAAAGTTGCACCCCTCACTGACAGGGGCCTGCAGGAAAGTTCAGAGGCCCCAGCTGCACGACAGGGTAAGTCGGCCGTCGGAGGGGCACGCCGCAAATAAACCAAACTTTCAGGGGGCATATTAAAAATCCCTTCCCCTCCTTCCCCCCCCTGGGCCCCCCCCCCGTCAAAAAAAAAAAAAACACGTGTGCAAGGTGGGGGGAGATACCATTCCCATCGATCGCTCCGTGCCTGCCACGATTCTATTCTCGCACAGTTTTATAGGTCATCACGACTCGTCAGAAGTGATTGATTTGGAACTCCCAAGATGGACGAGAAGCGTAATCAAGGGTATGGTTCCGCGTCCAGAATGATCCCCCCCCCCCAACCCCTTTTTCATACGCAACCAGTCATGAATGGATTCAAATGATCCAATTGTCAATTTCTCAGACAGAGTCTGCAGGTCCCTCCTCTAAGGGACTGTACTGTCCCATCAAACCCCATGGTTCTGAAGGACCAACACTTCAGCTTGTAACTTGTGAGCCAAGCAGGAGGAGAGGAGATTAACCCATCCCATCTGGCTGAACGAGCACACACTTGTAGCTCTCAACAAACAGATCAGGGGTTCAAATCTTGATGAGAATCATCAGATACATTAAGACTACCGTCTTCACCCCAATAGAACACCTGGTCATTATAGCTGTATTTGACACAACTTTCAGCCCAGATACGGCGATAATTACCGGGTGTTCTATTCGGGTAAAGACGGTAGGACCTACTCTCGTTCGCTCAAAACAAAGAGTAAGAGAACAAGATGTGAGCAACAAGGGGGGAAGGCATGTAGAGGATGTAAGGGGGGGCAGGCCCCACTGGTGAGCCAAGCAGGAGGAGAGGAGATTAACCCAGCCCATGTGGCTCAGCGGCCACACGCTTGTAGCTCTTAAGAGTCTTCACAAACAGATCAGGGGTTCAAATTCTGATGAGAATCATCAGATCCATTAATACTCGGACGTACTCTCGTTCTCCCAAAACAAAGAGGGCAAGGCGAACAAGATGCGAGCATAAAGGGGGAAGGCGCATAGAGGATAAGGAGGCAGGCCCCACTGGTGCTATGTTCGTGTTGAGAAAGCATGAACCTGACAGCAAAACTGGCCAGTTTCATGCCGCCTTAGCTTAAAAAAATAGCTTCCGTGCGGCGTGGCCCGAATTTGTTTGTTGACCAGGGAGGCTTGTAGAAGCTACGGTGACCCATTGCCAAGTCAGGGACCACTCACCTTGAGGGACCCGCGGAACCGTAAAGGTGCCGAAGACTGTATTCATCTACAGCACTGCCAAAATCTGCAATCCGCCTTCACCGACTCGTCATTGCAGGAGAAAGGCAAGGAAAGAGCAAAAGAAACAAGACCACAGTCAGTGAGCAAGTTAATGGGCAAACCTTGTGAATTGGATTTCATATGCCCCGAGTCCGGTTTGACCCGTATTGAACCTTCTCATCTTGACATCGGCACTCCTCAGCAACATGTTTACTCATGCGTCCTCTCTCTCTCTCTCTCTCTCTCTCTCTCTCTCTCTCTCTCTCCCTCCCC